CTAATACATCTACTCTTCTAATAGCAGTCATCATCAGAAGCCCGACATTTTATATAACTAAATCATCTAAAGCGAGACTCTAATCTAATTTATCGTTATTGAAGCTACTCCAATATTTGTACGTATATACTCATTTCTCATTCTGCCTCTAAGCATAAAATCACTCATCCACCTAAGGATTCTCATCTCTGCAACAAATAGAACAATACAAATTTTTTTCTTTTTCAAATCAGATTAATATAATTAATCTTATCGCTAATCATGATTATAAGCTCTAATGACCACAATATACTCATTCATAAACGGAAGATGGAAGCAACAAAGTATAATAAGCATGTAATAACCATAAAACAGAGATCCGTCCTCAAGAACAAGGAGTAAAATTGCAGGCGACCGTTGAACGGCCGGAGATGCCGGAGTTAGCTCGCCGGAATCTTAACGCCGTCATCAAGGCTTCCCTTTGAGAGCCAAGGAGAGCTGAATTCATATTACTGACCACAGTTAGCGTCGGGTAAGGGAACCTTATGCTGTTGTAAGAGTTAAGCAGCGCCGCCGTCGATTCCCGGAGAAGAGTTCGGTATACGTCGCCGCGGCCGTAAAGCCCATTCCATAGCGTCAAATCCGGGCCGTATTTCCCGGCCGCCACCGGCCCGAAAGCTAAGGCCACCGGCGTCTCAGGTGAGACCACCCTCCAGTGGCATTTGAATGCCGGCATTAGCCATTTGCTGCAAGTTTGGAAATTTTTAAGCATGAAAATTTGAATAAGTAGATGGAGGAAGTCAGATGGATTGGATTAATAACGTTGAAATTGATAATTTTATCATGTAATTTTGGGAAAATCATTAAAAGGAGGGATGTAAAGGAGTCAAGTCGGGTTCTTATTGGACTCGAGCTCATTTATAAAGCTCGAGCTTTACTTGTTAAATATTTTATGGGCTCCACCTTATTTAGAAAGCTCTAACATAATTCGATTAAAAAGCTTAATTTCATAATTTCAAATTAAAATTTTCAAATTTTTAGAATTTTTATTTATAATATAGAATTAACATAAATTTTTTAAATATATTGTATAATGCTAAATTAAATTAATTTTTAAGTATATCTTAAGTTAATCGAGTCGCTCAACAAGCTTGAGATCAAGCTAAGCTAAACTCTTGGCTCCATAAACACGACTCACAGGCTGACCCCCGCTCACTAACGTGAAATTATTCTGTGCAGACGTCGAACGCTG